ACAATTTCAAAAATTATGGGACTAAATTAGCACAAAATCAAAAGTTAAGTGATAAACTGAAAATTTAATAACCACTATAGCATAAATGTACAAGTTCGGTGACCTTTGTAAATTTAAAATGAGTTAAATTTTCAAATGAATAAAAAGTTAAAAGTTAAGTAACTACAATTGACCTAAACCCTAAAAAAATTTCTGATTTTATCTAATAAATCAACAATCAGATTTATAAAATTTTAAAATATCTAATTATTTTGGTAACAAATTAACAAATAACACAATCACATATACCACATCTTCTTATTTATTATTAATTGATTTTAGAAAAAACATCATAAATGGTCCCTATGGTTTTTCCAGATCTGAAGTTTAGTCACTGTGGTTTAAAAACATCATAGATGGTCCCTGTGCTTTCAAAAATTTTGACGATTGGTCCTTATTGCTAACTCCGTTAAGTTTTGTCCGATAACTGAAGGACATTTTCGTCATTTCATTTCACTACCACATTGACCATTTATGATTTTTTTTTTAGAAATCATTTTTGAATAAATATTTCAGTTTTTTGTCGGACCTGTCATTAGAACAGACTGTAAGGACTGAATCTGCTAAGATTGCAAACCTGCATGTCTTCTTCCTTTTAAATCAATTCAAGGACTGTATGCATTCTTCACCATTTTAGAAGCCTACAATTTGATTCCTTTGAAATGTCAAATAATCCTTACCCTAAATAAATTATTTTATGTCCGTTAAGAGTTGTTCCCCATCGATGGTCTGGTAGTCTTGGATTAGTGACTCCCTGGTTGTCTCCCAAAACACACTATCACTTCTAGATGTGTTTATTCTTATGAGATGTGAATCTTTAAGTTGGTATAAAAGTCCTGTTTTTTTTACTAAAATACCCCCAAATTGTGTGCTTCATGATCTCCATGTTTGTATTGCTTTGTATTTTTAGAGTCGAAAGCTAGGCTTCCAGCTTTAACACAAAGCAATCTTCCCCATTGACTGTCTTGACCCCTATCCAAATTGAATTGTTAAATTTGATATTATCATTTATATACTAAGTTGATATAATATATTGATTATTTTGAGTTATATGGTAATGTATACATCTATTAAAACTGCATAATCTAAATCTTTTGAATGACATCTACCCGCGGGTTACTCATGAATAAAATTAAATATAATATATGGTTTAATGTTATTTATATTTGTTGTTATTATAAATTATTTTTTTTAAATTTATTTGGTTAATGTTTTAATTTAAATCAGTGTAATTATTTAAAATATCAAACATTTTTTTATTTTAAAGGTAACAATATGATCATTTATATAGAGTTATTTTTAACTATTGTTATTGTAAGTTATATTAAGTTACTTCAACTGAAAATATTTAACGATTATAAAAATATTTTTATGAAATATTTTAGTTAAATTGATATTACAATTTTGTTTTTGCATTTAGCACTACAATTTATAACTTTTCACTATTCACGGAATATTCTTTGTGTTTTTTAAGCGGAACTGAATTTTATATTGGTGTTGACCCTGTAATGTTATATTTAAATTAACAATTTAACTATTTTATCCAAATTGTTCAAAAGTTGTAGCTTTAAACTGATAATGGTTTACATGCAACAACATATTAAATCTAATAAATTAAGTATAATATTTTAAAAGTTAAAGACATAACTTTATAAGTAGAAGTAAAAATATTATTTTAATATTGAAATTTAGTTTTTTTATGATTACACTTTAGGTTTGATACTTATTTAACCTTATTAACCAACTTATAATCATTATTAGAAAGACACTACAATTTATCACTTTTAACTATTTACAAAATATTCTTTGGGTTGTTTAAGTTGAACTAAAATTAATATTTAAGTTGATCCTGTAAGGTTATAATTAAATTAACAATTTAAGTATTTTATGCAAATTGTTCAAAAGGTATAGCTTTAAAATGATAATGATTTACAAACAACAACATATTAGACCTAATAAATTAAGTATAATATGTTAAAAGTTAAAAACTTAACTTTATAAGTAGAAGAAAATATATTTTTTTAATATTGAAATTTAGTTTATATTTAATTACACTTTAGGTTTGATATTTATTTAACCTTATTAACCTACTTATAATCATTATTAGAAAGAAATTGAAAAGTCATGGGAGTTTCAAATGAATTTGGTGAAAGGAAAAATGATGGGAGTTTCAAATGAATATGGTGAAATGAAAAATGCTTCCTTTATAAGTATATAATGATTCAATACTTTCATTAGCACCAATCAATGTTGGTGATTTAATATCATCAATATTATTTAAGTGTATTAGGATTAAATTTGTTGACCAAAATTGATCTTGATGAATATTTAACAAGTTAGGATGGTGTAGAAGTGCACACTTGTTCAAGTTTATCAAGATTCAAAGTACACTATTGTTTATGGGCGAAGCCCCTAAACGAACAGGGTTCCGGGGGCAGCGCCCCTTTGAGCGGGGTCCAAGGGGCGGCAGCCCCTAGCGGAGTCCAAGGGGTACAGCCCCTGGCTGGACCCTTATCCAAATACCTGTTTTTATGTTAGTTTTTATGGTTTTATGACAATTTAAAACTATCATATGATAGTTTTCAGACATAGATCATAAATCCGTTTTTTGGTCATTTTTCTGGTACATCTTGAAGAACATTTTCACAGACATCACTGATTTCATATCTCTTAATTTCATCAAATTGAGTGTTCGATTTATACCATCAAAATACTTCAATTTGATAGTGAATCACGACTTTCAGAGAATCCAAGCAATCTATTCAACCCCTATTTCTAACAATCAACAAAGAGAAAACTAAATTACATATTCATTCAATTCAAGAAATCTTGGAATTGGACTTACGATGGGGTTATTTGGGTTGATAATGTTGGGGTGGCCGGAAGAGATGGGAAGATGGACGAGGGGAGCTCTGACGATGCTGAGCAAGAGCTGAATGTCAGCACTCCGACCATCGTAGTCAGAAAATTGGCGTATTTGGTCGGTGGAATGAGGTTTCATCCATGATTTCAAGGTTTTCCAAGAGGTGGTGTTGTGGTTGATCTTGTTATCATTGAAGGTTTCCTCCGGTATCAGAACTTCGACCACTGTTTCAAGAGCATCTTCGTTGTCTATGTTTGGGCACAAGGTCCTCATCATCAGGTTGTGTGTGTATGTATGTGGGTGTGTGTGTGTGTGTGAGAGAGAGAGAGAGAGAGAGAGACCTTTTATATATTAAATAATTATATTTAATATTTTCTTTGTTAAAAAAATAAGATAAAACATCATAAATGGTCAATGTGATAGTAAAATGACGAAAATACCCGTCAGTTAACGGATAAAATTTAACGATGTTAGTAATAATGACCAATCGTCAAAAGTTTTGAAAACACATGAACCATATATGATGTTTTTAAACCACGAGGATTAAACTTCATATCTGAGGAAACCACAAGAATCAATTATGGTGGTTTTTCTTGATTTTAATTATTTTGAATTTACAAAAAAATCATAAAATATAACTAAAGTTAGAAAGTAATATTAAGTGATTGCTTGAAATAATAGAAAAGGTGTCGTTAGTTAAGAATCCTATAATATGTCGGCCACCAATAAACACACGTATCACGTATCATTAAACTCTCAATCAATTATTTGGAGATACAATGGCTAAATTACTCGCAAATAACATCAAATTAAAAGATGTATGAGAAAAATTAAGGGTATGTATTTAACAATTTAAATATGAAAATTTTATAAAAGAAATATATCTAGTAACTGAGGTATCTTTATAAAAGTTGGTCGTTTCCAAAAAAATCTAGTAACGGGGATGTATAGGGCTGTAAACGAATCAAACGCACACGAACAAGGTCTTGTTCATTTCGTTCGTTTAAGTTAGCCGAACAACAAACGAACACGAACAGATAAACGAACGAGATTTTCTTGTTCATGTTCGTTCGTTTAACAAATTACTTTGTTCATGTTCGTTCATTTATGTTCGTGAACATGTTAAACGAACATAAACGAACAAAGATAAAAAAAAACACAATTGAACATATATGAACATAAACGAACATATAATATAGCAATATAATAAAAAATAATTGAATATAGATGAATATAAATAAACTTAAACGAACGAACATAAACAAACGTAAACAAACATCATAAATGAACGTTCACGAACATAAATGAACGAACGAGACCATTGATCATGTTCGTTCATTTAACTAAACGAACGATAATTTTTGTTCATGTTCGTTCATTTATTAAATAAACGAACATAAACGAACTTCCCGCCGAACAGTTCACGAACGGTTCGCCGAACGTTCAGTTCGTTTACAGCCCTAGGGATGTATGAAAACCAGCACCACAAAAGATTCACAACTAATTCGATGTTATGAAAATTATAACACTTAATTTATTTATTTATGTTAATTCTAATCAAGTTAACCGATGTGAACCTTTTATGATTTTACCATTTAACAAGTTTACATTGGTTTTACACAATTTTTCGGAAAAATCTAAATTTTTTGTTTATATAAAAACATTGTATTCCTTTTTTCTTAGAAAACCTCATATGATAATTTTGAAATCTAATTTCAATATTAAACGTAATTTAATCCATTTTAACCAATTTCTTTTATTTTTTATTTTGACTCATATATATATATATATATATATATATATATATATATATATATATATATATATATATATATATATATATAGAGAGAGAGAGAGAGAGAGAGAGAACTAGGTTCAAATGAAAATATTTAAAATCTATAACACCAACACCCTTGCCCTGTCTTTCTCTAAAAACAATCGTCCACAACCATCATCATCTTGGTTGCCGACCACCATCGTCATCATTTCCATCGCCGAATCTTCGTGCTATGCAATCGATCCTAAACCACCCACGGTAAAATATGACTAGAGCACCAAAGGGAAAGACTTCGAAATCAGAAATAAGAATCAAGAAACTATGCGATCGAAGAAGATAGGAGGGTCGGAGCTGGAATCATTCATCGGCCAACACCATCAGACACCACCGTCAGGTATGTGTACTTTGAATTAAGATTTGATGAATTCAAAAGCTTGCCCTTCACTCGATGGTTCTGGGTTTCTGAATAGTCTTAGGGTTTATCTAACATCTTTGTGTTTCTGTATTTCATTTGGTCGTAGATATACACACAGGGCCGACTTTACCTTATGACAAAGTAAGCAAGGGCTTAGGGCCCTCAATTATAAAGGGCCCCAATTTTTAGTATAAATTGTTAGTTGTAACGCAAGTAGCCACAATCAACAAAGAGATGATTCGATTTCAGTGTTCTATTTCATTCTTGACGTCTCCTCTGTCCTTCCAATCTCGATTCATGAAAATTGTTTAAGTGAAAGAGTGAAAGTATGAAACGCAGCCAACGACTTGTCTCTTCTTCTTCTCAGTCCCTCCTCTGATTCTCAATTGAGATTTGATGATTCACGATTTTCGATTATAAGAACAACAATATTTTATCTTTTTTGTTTTTATGTTTCAAATACACTATCTTTAGGAGTATAATACATCATCATTGCATCAAATATAGTTGATTGATTGATTGTTCTATCAATAATAATAATATTTTAAAAACTTTAGTTGAAGAAAATCTGGTTTTAGAAACTAAAATCTCTTATTCTCTGTGATTTGTATGCATATATGAATATAGATACACCAATTTGAATTTAGAGGATTTGTTCATAGATTTCTAAACATTTTCGTAACTTATAACTTTTTCATGTTTGTCATCCAAGGGCAGCTCAAGTGTGAAGTTTTTGGGATTGTTTAAAATTTTGAGTTTTCCATTTGACTCACTGTGTCAAGCAGGAAAGCAACATATATTTCCTTCAATGACTGCAGATTCTAAATCTTAAAGACTCGGTTTTTTATTCGAAATCAGTAACATGATAGTATCCCTCATATTGAGACTTTGATCCTTTGGAGATCTGACAAGTCTTGTACTATTGAACATGACAAGATGTGAAAACTTGTGCATGGTGGATCAAACAAATTTGTTAGAAGCTTCTACTTCAGGTGGATAAGTTGCAGAACAACCAATGTTTTTCTCCCCACATTAATTAGAAAGGTTATTCCTTAAGAACTACAACGTTGAGTGTATTGATTATTTTCCTCTAACTTCCAAGTACTCTTGTAGAATTGTATGTATATTAATGTATCTGATAGTAGCTTTTGAATCACCTTAATTCACATTTGCAATAGTTTGGCTATGAAGCTATGTCGGTTTGCCTGAAATTAAAGACTTTGTAAAATTGTTCCCTGTAGCTAAACTTGAAGATGATGAATTAGAACACATGAAGTGGCTAAAACCATATCGCTATAATGAGGTGTGCCTGGTAGGTGATGACGAGCTCACCAAAGACAGAAGTGTGTTTGTCAAGGTACGCTTGTTTCTCTCTTAAAAACATGCATATACACTCACAAGCATTTCACAAAAAAGAAAAACATAATATTTGTTTAACTCTGCAATTTATAAAAATTTTAGTTTATTATTGTCGACCCCAAGCCCGAATAAAAGATGATGATTTATAACATTATGTATATTAAAGACCAAAGGGCCTCAAATTTTTTTTTTTACTTAGAGCCCCCAAACTCGTTAAGCCGCCCCTGTATACACATAAACTACCTTTGAAATCGGTGGTGGTCGGGGTTTTGCTAATGGATAGTAGTATAACTGACCCACCGTTAGTAGATGCCAAGGAGAGCAAATTCTTAAAGGGTACTTTCGTTGTTGTTAGAATTATGTCTACTCTCGTCATCTATGGTGTCTTATAGGTACGTTTTGTTTAACCAAAAGTTGCATTTAAGTAATCATTTGTATACATGTGAAGATAAGCTGGGTTATGTAGAGAATTTGTTGTAAAGTTATACAATTGATTTTGTTCAATCTGGAAATAAAAAACTCAACAAATTAGAGGAAACGAGGTTTTGATGTAATATAGTTGCAATAATGATTGTTACCATTTGCATTTTTGAACATACAAAAAGCCGAATCCTTTGCTTTAAACTCATTAATATAATGTTCACAGTGTAATATTCCTCATTCATGAATCTTACATATAGCAGCATTGATGCTTGCATCTCCCATTACCAATTGTTAATGATGTAAGTCTTCTTGTCTTTTTTACTTTATGCCAATCTTATTTCCATGTTTTTCTTCTGTCAAGATGTTTCATTTTGTAGATTGAATGATCTTGATTTGAAAAAAACAGGTAACAAAATAGACTTATTAATACACCAACCTACTTTTGTCATCTAGTTTATCAACAAAATTGACGTATTCTATTTTCAGGTCAATGATAGAGTATTATTTAAAAAATGTACTTTGTCAGAATTTATATATATAAACACATTCTGTTAGAATGTCTTTGAGAATGTTTGTTAACAAGAAGTATATTTGTTTAACGGGAAATACTTCAGTGTATTCTGTCAGAAATTATTTATATAAATGCATTCTATCAGAATTTGCTTAACGAGTAGTGTATCTTATTCCTTCAAAATTGCATGGAGAAGGAATTCAATATTGATCATACAAGAGAAATATTTGTAATCGAGTTCAACAACATGTATATATGCGAATATCAAATGGATTATATGGACCACTGAAGAAGACCAAGTGTATTTGTTCAACAATTGTGTATTCAAGAATGCTATTTTAAGAATTTTTTTTCATTTTTTGATGATATTCTGTTAGAATATGTATAACTATATTAATTTGTATAAGGATATTAGTCTGTAAGAATATGTATGAATTTGTATTTAATTTTGGATGTATATATTAAGTATAAAATCGTAGACCCAAGTTGGATGTATATGAATAATATCTTATTCTTAATGTAGGGTTTCAAAGCACTCCATGGATGATGACAATGGGCCCCTTGAAGAAGTGTAGGTTAAAAGCCCAAGACTTGTCTTTTCCTTGTAAATAGTCATGTATTATTCATAATTAGGGTTAAGAGTGAGACAAAATGTAGCCACCGCGTGAGGTTTCTTATGTAGCGTTAAATTCTTTAGTCTATGCTGAAAGTGTAATTTATTCCTCATATTTTGAATAAATCGAGTGATCATTCGACATAATCTTCATATTTGTGTTTAATCTTATTTTTTGCATCTTGTTCATCAAATCACAATTAGGGTTTTAATCCCAACAAGTGGTATCGGAGTGGGTCTTTGAAGATCTATTGATTTTTGAAGTATCGGTTCTTGATTTGATGATTTTTCTGCACATATATTGAAGATTATTGGTGTTTTGGCGGTATGAAATCAAAATTATGTTCAAGCAACTGTCATGGATACTTATATTTTGTTGCTGTTCATCTAGTATCGTTTTTCTGTTCATATAATTTTTAGATCTGGTCATTCGTTTGATGTTGACAGTTATATTTCCTTGTTTTAGCCCATTGATTTGTTCTTTGAACTGTTCTTAAGCCCAATGTCTTCCGATTATTGTTCATGTGTTTTGAGCCCACTTATATTGATTTTTTTTTCATTAAACTAAACCCATATGTCGTTCTTTATAGTCGCATGTTCTGATTCATGCATCGGCACATCTCAAAACTATGATTATTGCATCTCGATTTCGCAATTCGTTCTCATATTCCGATTGAACTCATGATTCAAGACTCTATTTAATCATTTATGTTCGATTTTTGTTCGTGAGTCAACGTTTCTAAATAGTTTCATTCTCAAAATCGGTTTTGATTCTATTTGATTATGGTATTTGAATCCTTTTGCTTAATCTGTTCCACATCTTGATTGGGTGTTTATACAATGGAAATTTCGAATTCTTATGATGAACTGATGATGAACAAATGAACAGCACCGTATCTCAAGTCGATGGTCAAAATTGAAAAAGTCAATATTGGGACTGCAATCTAAATTAGAATCGTGACTATAATCAGGGATGTGATGTTAAGAACAATTGGTATCATGATTGGATTTTAATCGGAATGATTAAGTCGTTGTTCTTGTGAGTCAAGCAAAAGGTCAAAATTGGAATTATTGATCTGCGAATGATGTAATCGAATTTAAAGTACAGGTACCGGAAGCGCATCGTTCATCTTCCATCGAAATCGGATTTCATGGTTAAAATTGCGAGCTTACCTGCGAACGTTTATTGTCCGCGACACGCAGCGAACCTATGTTCTGATTCATCTCAAGAACCTGTGAATGAAATCGGGACGCAATCGGGAAAAACTGCAGTCAAACAAAAGTCAAAATTAAGCTATTTGGAAATGAACGAAGGGTTTCAATTGACTGAGATTTGGGACAAACATCCTACCTGCGAACGACCAACCAGTTTGGGAAGAACGAGAGCTAAACAGAAAAGTCAAAAATGACTGAATTGGGTTGAACTTACTTTGAATCTCATTGTGTCTTCCACGAAAAGCGAACCTGTGATTGGGTTCGTTTATTAGCACTTGGAACGAATGCCTTGGAAAGAAAGAGGGGAAAGCGAACTTGGGGTTCGACTTGGCTAAGGTTTCACTTATTGTTCGCATCGTGATGCTTGATTTTGCTTTTGTATCAATGGCTTTAGTATGTATCCGGAACGAAATTGAGTTCGGTTGGTAGCTCTTGGAACGAAAGCACTTGGAACAAAAGTAATGGAACGAAAGGGGGATGAACCGAAAGCGAACCTGTGCTCAGACCAAACATGGTTTCGGTTCAATGAACCTGGACCGAACTTGGTTTCGGTTGCTTGTACTCAGAGCGAACCTATTGGAGCCGATGTTTATATGTGCCAATTTCAAGGTTTCGTGTCTAGTTTGAGTCATCGTTGAAAGATCAACTGGAGTATGATGCAGTGTTCGTTCAATCTCATTTAAATGGGGAAGATGACTAATGATTACACTTTTGGTCCCTGTTGTTTTCACAGTTTGGCTTTTTTGGACCATTTCCAGTTTTTGCTTCAAATAAAGGGGTATATTGATGTTGAATTACCATTCCATCCCCTGTCTTTCAACAAGTGATAGTTTCGGCCCAACATTAAGAAAGTTTACTACTTTGAGGACCGGTGAACAGTTTTGGATTTTTCAACGCATATATTTTTTCGTGAACAAAAAATTAAAGATTCCATTAAGTCTTGGCAGTTCGTAAAGTCGTTTTTCGTGATAACGTCAAATTTTCACGATTTTTTTTTTCGGATTTTATACTTTATTGTGTATATCATTTTGTCACGGGGGTGCATAGTAATTTTTATCTATTCAAGATCATTCTCATGACCATAAGAAGGCTTTATAATCACGCTTTCGATTATAAATCGGGGGAGAATTTGGTATGGCTATTCGAAATTGGATTTGTGACTTTTCAAAGTTGAAGGTTTTTTTGGTAGAATTATGAAGGTATCTTTTACAGTGAAAGTTCTTCATCGACCTCTACTAAAGCTTTTACAGAGAAGTATCCTTTACAACGGAAGTTCTTTATCGAGCTCTGCTAAGGACTTGTTATATCTCCGACTTCTAGTTTTTTCTCGATCGAATGGCATTACGAATCTTAAAGTTTGGGTTGTTACATGATATTTTTTGATGGCTTATATCATCATCTTATTTGAAGATCATTGTGACTTGGAGTGGGAGCTCTTCAAAGACAAGAAGTGATTTGATTTCTTTGTTCTGAAATGGGTTTTTATGGCGGGTTCGGTTTTGATGAAGATTTTTTTGGGATTACATTCCAAAATGAAGTTTAAAGACATTACTTCAGTGCTTGATTTATATATCCTAGAGCCAGTGTTTGAAGACTATTGAAGAATTAAGATTCGTGGATTGATTCATCTATTCCCCGTTGCAAGTTCTTTTTATTCGCTAGATGCTTGTTTTCGAAGTTAAAGTATTGTCATCCATTCCATACTTTGAGGGGGAGATTGTAGGGTTTCAAAACACTCCATGGATGATGACAATGGGCCCCTTGATGAAGTGTAGGTTAAAAACCCAAGACTTGTTTTTTCCCATATAAATAGTCATGTATTATTCATAATTAGGGTTAAGAGTGAGACAAAATGTAGCCGCCACATGGGGTTTCTTATGTAGTGTTAGACACTTTAATCTATGCTTAAAGTGTAATTTATTCCTCATATTTTGAATAACTCGAGTGATCATTCGACATAATCTTCATATTTCTGTTTATTCTTATTTTTCGCATTTTGTTCATCGAATCACAATTAGGGTTTTAATCCCAACACTTAAATCAGGTCAATGATCAAAATATAACTGCATTGGAAATGTATTCTGCAAGAATAAAATCAAAAATATATTTACTAGTTTATGATTAGCATTCTAGCATTCTGATAGAATAAAATCATATTTTTAAATTTGAATTAATTTAAAATATTCAACATTAAAAAAAATATTACTTACAAATCCGAAAATTTCTTTTTTAAATATAGGTTAATTGACTAAAATGTCATTATGCTGAAATTTGTATGATTATATGGTACATATTACCCTATTGTAATATCATAGACCCTCAGATCATGATATTTGATTCTATTCCATCTGGTGGTCCAGATTTACGCATCTTGACACATAATAGTTAGTAAAAACAAAAAAAATTAATATATATATATACATATATATATATATATATGTTAATTTTTTTTGTTTTTACTAACTATTATGTGCCAAGATGCGTAAATCTGGACCACCAGATGCGTATATATATATATATATATATATATATATATATATATATAGGGAAAAGGGAATATACATTACAGTCCCACCTAAGCTTAAGTACTAAACCTCTTGAAAATACATTGTTTTACTATATAAATATTACGGTTAATGGATTCACGATTAATACTTCAAGATGTAAATTCAAGATCGACACAATAGGGTTTAGGGTTGAGGGTTTAGATTTAGGGTTTAGGTTTAGGGTTTAGGGTTTCAGGTTTAGATTTAGGGTTTAGTGTTTAGGTTTAGGGTTTAGGGTTTAGGGTTTAGATTTAGGGTTTAGGGTTTAGGTTTAGGGTTTAGTAATGTTCACTTGGGTAAAGTAATTAACAATAATTGAGGAAAGAAAACAGGGATGGTAAAACGATAATGAAGGAAAGAAATGTTGTGCAGGATGATCTATTTACCAAGTGATCCACTACAAGAAAAATAGCCTTTTACGACGCTCATTGCGCGTCCTAAAACGCTCAGACGACGCGCAAATGCGTGTCAAGGAAGGCCCTGTCATAAAGAGAGACGACGCGCTTTTGCGCGTCGTCTATAGACGACGCGCATTTACGACGCTCATTTGCGACGCGCATTTACGACGCGCGTTTATGACACGCAATGCGTATCAAGGAAGGCCTTGTCATAAAGGAAGACGACGCGCATTTGCGTGTCGTAACCTTACGACGCATGTGTTTATGACACGCAATGCGTATCAAGGAAGCCCCTGTCATAAAAGAAGATGACGCGCATTTGCGTGTCATAAACTTCAATACCATTTTCAATATGCATTTACGATGTGCCTTTACGATATTCATTTACGCATAATACAAAAATATGGAAACAAATATATACCAAAACAATCAATTTCATTCAATACCATCATGTCAAAAAATTGTAATACATTAATATTAAGGGGATCGGATTGTATATTCTTATTAAGAGGTTTTCTCTATCAATATAACCTAATACTACATTGCTATTTAAGGGCACCTTCTTGTTTCAGATATCATGTCAAAAAAAATCTTCTATATTAGCACCGGGCGTGGATGGCAAGTAATGACTTGCACATTAGCTGAAACAAAAAAGAGCTTCTATTAATCACATAATAAAATTTAGCTAACTGATAAAGTTGTTATATAAATATGTTATTAACTAATATTATCATATCAACATTACAAATAGTAGATAAAAGATATAGCACCTTAGTTATGGTTAGGATTTAACATAAAAAATGATATTTTTAAATATTTAGTGCTAAAATTAAAAATTATCACCTATTGTGTTCCATTCCATGTTGTTTAGCTTCCCATTTAGTGCTAAAATTAAAAATAATCACCTGAGCCAATATGCTTTTGCATCATTAAAATTACATCATCATCACCATCAACCTGCAGGCAGCACAACAAATGCATCAATTATCTACTGCTTGTCTCAGGAAAATTTTGCTGTCACTCTTTGTACTGAAAGAAATTTGGTCAGAGATATTGATTTAGATAACAAGAAAGAAATTCATTCTGCCTTATGATGTTGCCAACATGTAACAAAAGCAGTTTCACGTTATAATCGTTTTCTCTATTAGCAGATTTTAGAATTTAACAAGTTTCACACTAAACATATAAATAGATAGTTTTTGAATGGATGCCTAATCCTTTATTTCCAATTACGTTATAATGGCTTCATGTTGTTTATATAAGCCCCATGAAAAGAATATATCAGATATGAATGATTTGAGGATGAAACATTACAACATGAACCTCATTACACACACACAAAAAAATCAATTATATTATAAAGAACATATTATATTACCTCACATATAAAACATGTATTGGTATCTTTTACAAAATTACCATACATTATAAATAAAGATCTGGTACTCATACATAATAATAAGTAAAAGAACGTTACAAACAATAAGACTTTCTCCCCAAAGGAGAAGCAAGAAAACCAGTTAAACTGGAGAAATTTTAACCAATCAAAAGAGAAGTCTACCCTCACCTGAACAACCAGTCAAGAAAGCAATGTCGTGTGTCTGCACAAGCTTCACCCTTCTTAACTGCTTATAAGAGTCTATAATCCTTTTGATTGTCATTTTCCTTGCATCTGTTTGTTGTTTTTCAGTTAACTCCACATAAGATGGAACTGCAGGTAAATCAACAGATGTTTCCTCCATGACAGGCGTCTCCACTCTGCCTGGTGGTGAGAGTTGATCCTCATCCAAGATTAAAGATGATGGCAGGTGGTCTTTATCTGTCATTGTAATAATATCCGTTGACTTTTGTTCATGTGAGTCAACAGGAGAAAATGATACATCTGAAACAATATTCAATTTCTCATCAAGACTTTTGTTCATGCGCGTCATATGCTTATAAGTTTGTTGATGCTAATCAGAAAAAATAAAATAGAAAAAATACTTAAAAATAAATTAGAAAAAATAAAAAAGATTTGGAATGTACAATGTATTCTAGAGCATCATTTTCCTTCCATCTAGCCCTTGGAACACTAGCTCCAAGCCCAACAGACATTTCTGCAGCCCATTTTACAGAGTCCTTTCCTTTTTGGCCAAATGAGTCTTCAATACATCCATATTCATTTTCAATATGATAAAATCCAATAAATAAAAACCCAAACTGCCCTTCTACAGACCTGCAACATGATGAAAATACATTTGGTTGAATGATGAACATGCAAAAGTCAAGATAACAAAAGGGTGTTGGGGGTTGTTTACTAGTGCCAAGTGGAATGGTAAAATTCCAATCCTGTTTTATAAAAAAATTTAAAAAAGTTTATTTAAACAAAACTGTTTTTGAATAGCAATTTCCAATAGAAAAAACTAGTAGTTTCCTTTTAGTTTTTATTATAAATAATAATGCAGAAGCACTGATTCAACACTCACCTGAAATGGTAGTAAAATCTCAAGAATATGGTATTTATGAAGCAAGGAGAATGAAAATTCAGCAGCCCCAAATGATAGCATATAATTTACCTTTTTAGTCTAATGTTTTAAAAAAATATTGAGCATAACCCTACATCAAGATCTGTATCCAGTTAATGTTCACCAACAATCATTAAGGCATAAGATGTGACAGTTCCACGAGCACATGATACCTATGATCACTAACCATATAAATCATAATCATGCTACTCACAATTCCTTAAATTATTAATAAACCAAAACCCTTAAATCATATTTTTAATTTAAAAAAAAGTAATAACAGTAACAAGTGACATTTACCAACACTCCTTTCCTGACGTTTCCAAGTGGACCACAATATTTTTCATAAGCTGTAAAAACAATATATTGTTAACAAAATAAAATCACAGATTCAGTATTCAAGAACTTAAAAAGAAAAGGAAAAAAAGTATTAAAATGAGCATACATTACATACATACCCATAAATGCACGATGCATAAATCTTGTGCCACGTGTGTCACTGCTGAACACGCTTCTGTAACCAACCAGTCCCCTGAAGCCTCAAATTAACAAAAACGTAAGCCACTTCTTTTTATCACTTTTTTGAAAAGAAAAAAAAACATGTTGATAAAATGACGAAAGTGACCTTGAAGGACAAGTTAATGTCATTCTAGTCACGCCAAAGTTTCCAGCAACAGGGCCCATGTCAGTAACCTCAGCTCGTCTGTGAGAAAGCGGTTCCATCACCATTCCCACATGCTCTTCATTCACCTTAAATTAATAACAATCATATAAAAAAAATCCATATCATTAAAATACAAATACAAATAGTAAATCAGTTTTTTTACCTAAATGGTTACTTCTTCAATTGGCTCTAGCTTCACACCTTTCTCAATCTTGTACCTAACATATTATACAAATAATAATCATTATGAACCCTAAAAGTTCATATAAGAAGTAGAAGATAAAGAAACCTTACATAACTCTTGGAGGGGATACAGAAAGCTCAAATGTTCACGCCTCAGATAATTTGAGACTTTCTGCCAAGGGCAATTTGTGAAATTAGTTTCAAAGGCAAAACATGCATCAAAGCTACGTGAAGCATGTAGTTAGTTACCTGTGCCTTTTGCAGGCCTTCTGCAACTTCAATTGTTATTCTCCTATCCTAGCAAGCAGTCTCCTCAAACTCCAAGCATTTGTTATAATAGTATGATGCATCATCTACCTCTCCTAGAAGTAAATGACAGCTAAAAATAGGATGTAAAAAGATAATTAGATTATGATTTTTCCTATCTCATAAGTAATTGACAGATAGAGATCTTACTTTGCAGATCTTAAGTTGACCATGAAATTGGGATCTAATACAGCAGCCATTCTACAGTCGTTTAGACCTTCCCTCATTCTTCCAAGAGTCATGAAAACCCACCTTGAAGTTAATAGAAGCAAGCAGACGAACACCTCTCCACAGGGAATGGAGAGGTGTGTATCAATAGAGAAGGTCGAAGATGATGACTGAGGTTACCATTCAACTTGTTTTGGGGGAAAGCCACCGACCACAGGAAACCACTATTTGGGAACACCAAGAAAGCCCTTATACTAAAGTCAACTGCCTCAATAGTGAGGTCAAGATGAGCGATAGCAGATATGCAGACACACAACTTTCCACCAAGAAACGGTGTTGTTTATTGAAATCAATGTGTGAGTCACGTTAACACAGGGTTCGGGAAATAATGAAGGAGGTAGAAGCGGACAAGTAGGTGATGAGAGAAAGCCATGTCATCATTTTCACTTCATCATGAAAACTTTTCTAGATAAATAAGCCCTAATAGATAGTCCTTGCTCAAGAAGTGAAAATACCAACAGAGAAGAAACATAAAGAATGTACCTTTTGGGACTGAACCAAGAAGGAGCAGGATCAGATGGGTATTGTTGACCGGCGGCGCGTGGGTCGACGACGGTGGAGGAGAGGAGAGATGAGTGATATGATAATCCCTAAAAATCTCTATATCGGGTTTACAAATACACAAACCTCTCATTTTTCCTTTTCGTTAGAACCAATTGAAGGTCAGATCACGACGACGATAGTGGTAACTGATACAGAAGGAAAACCTTGTCAACCACCATGAAACAATTAAGACAAAGTTATAGGTTTTCGTTGCTTCAACCTTCGTTGTTCACAAGCATGGAATGAGAATAGAGGAAGGGGCTTGTTTACCTAGGGTATTTTGAAACGATTGTGCGTTGTGGTGGTATTTGTATGCAGACAGATCGACATGTGAGTAATAGAGTAGTAGTGGTGGCCATCATCTCCATTGTCGACCGAAGACATTAAGGGAGCGGGGATATTAGTGTTTTTTTTTTTGTGATGATATTAGGGTTTTTTTGGGTATTAGAGTGCGAGAGTTAGAGAGAGAGAGAGAGAGAGAGAGAGAGAGAGAGAGAAAGAATGATGGAAATAAGGTAGAGGATAACAACGGCGGCCTTTCAAACTTTTGGGATTTTCGTTTCCCCCCAGCGGTACAAGTAGAGAACGCCCCTTTCATTAAACAAAAAATATAAACCGACATTTCTAGATGACACCCATTTTTAAATAAGTGCCCTCCGTGTTTTTATTTTTTTTGTTGGACATTAAATTTAGGGCACACACAAAAGCATGTCCTCTATCCTTCCAATTTTAGAAGAGATAACACTATTTTTAGGGCACACGCTTTTGCGTATCGTAAATCACCGCGTGTCATTGTTTGCACGTCATTAAAGGGCTGTTTTCTAGTAGTGTGAAACCAAACCGCGTATATCTAGCATGTTAAAACGACATATTATAGAAGTTTAGTACCTAAGCTTAGGTGGAACTGTAATATATATATATATATATATATATATATATATATATATATATATATATATATATATATATATATATATATATATATATAACCATCAATAATTCTAAAAATTTCACATCTACCATAAAGATGCAACATTCCTTTCTAAATACCTTTACCTTTATACATTTTGAATTTTTAAAAAGTCATTGTAATTATAAAATTTCCAAATAAAAATATTCACGTTTTACGAGACTTTTGCTATAAGATTGAAATAAAATGTTAGATTAGAGGGGACACAATGGTTAAAGTTGACTTTAGGGGTTTAGGCCACTTATAAAAGTCATTAACGACTTTGCATTTGTTTTGTCTTCTTTCGGTCGACCTCCTGTTTTATTTTTTTTGTTTATTAATTACCGGAGTAAATTATAGGAATAGACCCTATTTTCATCAAAATCTTGCATATTAAGTTATTATATTCGTGGTCACTCATTCATTATTTTGTTTCACCCTTAGACTATAAAGTGTACAAGGCCCCAGTGGGATGCTTAGGTGGCATTACGGGCAACTATGACGATTAGGGACGGTCCATACATATGGGGTTCGGGACGATAAGAAAAAATAAATCTCTTAAAGATAAATATAATAAAGATTTTAAAAAAATATCATTTATTTTTCACTATAGATGTGTTCAATTAACAATATTAAACAAACCAAATTGTTTATCTTTTCAACTAATTTGAGTTTGAACCAAATTTATGACCTAAAAATCATTTACGTAATATATATATATATATATATATATATATATATATATATATATATATATATATATATATATATATATATATATATATATATAGCCTATAAATTATTGGCCTCCTAGAGATGTGGGTCCTGAGCAGTTACCCGGGTTGCCCACCGTCTGTACCGGCTATAACATTATGTATGGAGTTAAATAAATAATGAACTCTAAAACCCCGAGATGTAATTTTTATGATTATTTTATACATATTATGGTAGCCAAAATCAATAATATTTAGCGGGTTGTTGATTTCAGGGAGCCAAATGATAAACTTTTTTGATTCTAGGGCTTAAAATTGTAAGTTTTGGATTTATTTGAAAATGATTTCAGAAGTCAGGGTGTGTTTGGTAATTAATGGACTTAAATTGAAAGGATTTGAAGGCTTAGGGGTTGATTGGTAATTTCGGGACCTATTGTGAAAGGACTTTTGGAGACAAGGGTTAAAAAAGTAAATATTGGAGCTAATTTGAAAAGATTGTTAAGGGGAGCGCTAGAAGTATAAAAATGAAACAAGAATTGAAAGTAACGGGCATAATAAGCCACCCGCTCAGTGTATATATATATATATATATATATATATATATATATATATATATATATATATATATATATATATATATATATATATATATATATATATATATATATATATATATATATATATATATATATATACTAGCAGCGTACCCGCGCAAAGCGGCGGGGCATGTAAATTCTTTCGGTGATATGTTTCCTCTACAAAAATGTTATGTTACAAATGAAAGTACATGTCGAAGACAAAATAATCAAACTATGGTGTTATTTGGGAGATGAAGTCATTTTTTGTTCCTAGACGGTGGACTTTATAGCAAAGAAGGGAACAAAGAGGTATATGCGATTGGAGAGATATTTGAATCAACATGTTAAATTTAAGGATATCTAAAATGATTCAAAATTTGAATGAATCCGGGATTTGAGGAAACCATATCAAATTGTTGAGAAATATAAGGAGATTTGATGATAATTATTTGAATTCAAAATGTGGTTAAAATTTAATATTATTTTATTAATAGTTACTTGTACTATCAGCTTCATCATTTGGACGTCTTAAAAAAATATTATTATTATAATCAATCTATTTTTAGAAATAGTTAGATTTCTTTATATATATATATATATATATATATATATATATATATATATATATATATATATATATATATATATAGTCAAGATCAAATAAGAACGAAATTTTTGGTAGGAAGGTAAGAAGTTTTTTTTCTACATATTTTTTTTGCGAACAAACAAAATGAATCATTATATGATTCATTTGTAAGAGGATTCACAAGAAAAAATTCTTAAAAAAACATCTAGATGATTCATTTATATAATGATTTTGTTGTTATTCACTAAAATTCTCATAAAAGTGAATATTTTCTTAATTTACTTAAAAATGAATCATAAAGATGTTTTTTTGAAAAAATTTTCTTGTGAATCATCTTACAAATGAATCATCTAGTGATTCATTTTTTTTGTTCGTCAAAAAACTATGTAGAAAAGAAACTTCTTACCTTCCTACCAAAAAAAATTTCTTACCGGATCTATATCCTATATATATATATATATATATATATATATATATATATATATATATATATATATATATATATATATATATATATATCCAAACCTTAACCCTAACCCTAGGAACAATATCAGCCGCCACATCCACCCTTATGCCTCCCCACCGGCACCGCCACCTTCTCTCTCTCGACTTTCGGCGCCGCACCACCACCTCTGTTGAGGTCGTCCACCACCCGCTGCTTCGTCATCGGAGCATCGTCCCACTGTTGCATTGTGGCCGATAACTACTGTTATTGTCGCCATCGCTTAAGATCTACCAGTTGTCATCATCGTCGTCAAAGCTGGAAACCACCATTAAGGCGTCGTTCCTGTCAGGGATGTCGTTGTTTTCTCGTGGATAGCCCAATCGGAGGTGTTGTCGTGTTCGTGTGGTGTCGTCCTGTGAACTGTTGCCAAATGTCATGGTCGCCGTCGTATACCACCGCAAGCCGCCATAAAGGACGACTAGATTCGAGTTTCGTCATCGGGGGTGTGTGTTTGTTGTTGTTGTTAGTCGGGATGTGTGAGTATGTTTTCTGTTGGCCGGAGTTCACGAGAAAACCACTATGGTTGCCAACTATGGGGGTTGCCGCCTTTATTTATGTTCTGCCACCATGTGCCACTGTCGGCCACCACAAGGGTGGTTGTGTGTGTCTGTTTTTCTTAGGGTGTGTGTGTGTTATTTGGGAATTTCATTGTAAAAATTGTAATCGTGACAGAATAATGAAAAGAAAACTCATAACAACCACCATGAGGTGATGGATGCCACCTCTTGGTGCCACCAGCCGTCGTGTTGGGTGGCGATCTGCTTTGTTTGTGTTTAGATTTTGTTTGGGATGCTTGGAAAAAAATGGATTACAACCATAACCACCACCGTGAGGTGGTAGCCGCCGTTGACCACCACTACCCAAGGTGTTAGTGGGTGGTGCCCAACTTAGGAAAACCCTAATGACCTAATGAAATCCTAATGGGCCTAAGGACTTAGCTTTTGGGCCTAATTGGATTGTGATAGGTTGGAAACCCTAATTAGGGTATCGAAAACCCTAATTTTGGACATATGGGTTTTGGAGTGTCGGGACCCGCATTTTTTATGACTGGAGTGAAATTATGTTTTAAGCCCGACCACATTATATGATTGACCAAAATAGATTGATGGACTTAATGGATTAAGT